GCAGGTGTAGGGATAGCACTGAGTGTTAAGGCGGAAAAATCACTCCTTGACTGGATCCCAGTAGATAGTCGTATGTGCGCGGTCCGTCTGAACGGGTCCGTTAAAAGAAGGAAAGACGGCGCTACCCGTCGTTGCCTTTTCGTAGTCTCCGCTTACGCCCCAACAGACTGCAGTTCGGATGAATTAAAAGATGACTTCTACCGGAAACTGTCTAATTTGATGCAAAAAGCAAAACGTTCAGACATAGTTGTTTTAGCAGGCGACTTCAATGCCCAAGTAGGGAAGTTGTGCCAGACTGAGAAGTATGTAGGTGGTACGTATGGAGTTCCCTGCCGACGAACCGACAACGGTGATCGTCTTCTCCAGTTTTGCTCAGATAATCATCTGTTCCTAGTCAGCACTAACTTTAGGCACAAAGAAAGACATTGTGTAACCTGGCGACCTCCATCACCAAATCAACGCTGGACTCAGATAGACCACATAGCCATAGGGTATCGTTGGCGAGGGTCAGTAGAAGACTGTCGCTCCTTCTGGAACACGTGCGTAGACTCTGACCACGCTCTGGTTCGCGCACGTTTATGCTTACGACTAAATGGACATAAGAAATTGACGGCAACGAAACAGTTACGTCCCCAACTAGATCGTGACACTGAGTCCTTATTTAAGGAAGAAATAGCGAAACGAGTTTCTGAGGTCGACAGCAGGACTTCCCCTGAGGTAGCCTGGCACAACATACAGTTAGCTGTGGACACAGCCATGAAAGCTGTCAATAAGCTAAAACCTAAAGTTAATAAAAGCCACTGGATCTCTACCGCCTCATCCGAACTGATTGACGCAAGAAGACTGATTCCAGCGAGCTCCGATTATGATGAGGAGCGAAAGGTACTTAAACGAAGACTAACAAAAAGTCTTCGCAAGGACCGTGAACAGTGGTGGGCGACAAAAGCGAAAGAGATGGAAAAGGCATCGGCGATTGGCAACACCAGACAACTATTCAGGCTTATCAGGGAAACAGGTGGTAAAAGGCAAATGATAAGCGAAACAATCTCGGAGAAAAATGGCACCATAATTAGCTCCCAGGATAGACGTCTGGAGCGCTGGAAAGAACACTATGAGGAGCAGTTTAATTGGCCCACAGCCACACTTAACCTGCCGAACATCCAACACCTCCCTGAATGGGATATAGACACAGGTCCTCCGTCCTTAACTGAGGTTACTAAAGCTGTCACTAATCTGAAACAAGGCAAAGCAGCGGGACCTGATGGATTGACTCCAGAGGTATTTAAGTACGGTGGAGACAGTTTACTGTCTGCGTTAACTGAGGTTCTAGGCAGCGTCTGGGAATCAGAGGAAGTCCCATCGGGTTGGTGTAAGTCACTGATCATCCCGATATACAAGAAGGGAGACAAGTCTTCTTGTGATAATCACAGAGGGATTAGCTTGACTAATATAGTATCTAAAATCCTAGGCTCAATAATACTGCGTAGACTAAGTGGTGCTCGGCAGGCACAAACACGAGAAAACCAGGCAGGTTTTAGGCCAGGAAGAGGGTGTATTGATCATATCTTCACCCTTCGACAGATTCTAGAACATAGGCATTCCTACCGGCGTCCGACAATCACTATATTTCTTGACCTAAAGGCGGCATTCGATTCTGTCGACCGAGAGGTTCTCTGGCGATGCTTGGCTGTGAAGGGAATGCCGAGAAAATACATTGCACTGATTAAGGCACTCTACTCGTACTCATGCAGCCAGGTGAGGGCTTATGGCGAGTTGTCATCTGAAGTGGTGACGACTAGTGGCGTCCGTCAAGGATGCCCATTATCCCCATTCCTATTCAACTTCATCATAGACGTATTAATGGACTTAACCCTAACACACTTCAGCGACTCAGGGATTGACTTGCTACCAGGGAATAATCTCGTCGACTTAGAATATGCGGACGATATAGTCCTTCTAGGCGAGGACGCTGACAAAATGCAGAGTCTACTGAACACCTTGAGCAACAATCTTCGTATGTTTGGCATGCGATTCGCCCCTGTAAAATGTAAGATGATGCTGCAGGATTGGACTTCACCGACCCCTAGATTAGAAATAGGAAGTGAAGTGGTAGAACACGTTGACCGCTTCAATTACTTGGGAAGTACCATCAGCCCCAACGGGTTGATCTCCGACGAAATTTCAGCACGAATACAGAGGGCTAGGTTCGCATACGCCAGTTTTCGCCGTCTCTGGCGTAGACGTGATATCCGACTATCGACCAAAGGGCGTGTGTACTGCTCAACAGTCCGCTCCGTCCTCCTTTATGGCTGTGAGACCTGGCCATTGAGAGCAGAAGACATGAAAAGATTAGCTGTGTTCGATCATAGGTGTCTGCGTTCTATCTCCCGTGTGAAGTGGTATAATAGGGTGAGCAATATTGAGGTTAGGCGTCGAGTGCTAGGTAAGGAGGGGAAATCAATCGACGAGGCTGTGAAATTACATCGACTGAGATGGTTAGGACATGTGTTACGTATGCCTAGTCATCGCCTTCCTCGACGGGCAATGTTAGCTGACATAGGGTTAGGCTGGAAAAGAGTTAGCGGTGGTCAAACCGAAACATGGCACCAGTCAATGAAATCCACAACAGTTAGTCTAAGCCATGTAGGAAGGTGTAGACTTCCTGGTTGGGGTTTTCGGGATGGTAAAAACCATTGGTTGGAGACAATCTTTGATATTGTGGTGAGAGCTGGCTGCTAGCCAAAGTTGGTAGACAGCAGTTGACGTCAATGTTTAGTCCCCAATATTGGTAGTGAGAAAATGAGAACAAAGGCTTTGTGCAGGCGGATACAGTTAGCATATGGATGATCTGATACAACCACGAAGATATGCAAGGTGAACTTTCTGTGAGAAAAACCCAATCAAAAGACTGTATTTTATACTAACAATAATCTACAATAGTGTAAATTAAAATCTATAAATATGTGTTGATTTTCCTAATAAACGATCTGTCGCCTGGCCCTTGTCTTCTGTTGTTACAATATGACTCAAAATCGTTCTGTGACTGGCGCACATGCATCCACTCCTTGTGACTCATAATTTCCAATGAAACTATATTGTTTTTCGTTGTTACTATTCCTTTGTCTCACACCTCTGTTTACTGTCTCTATTATGGATTTTTTCTTCTTTCTCCTCTTGCTTTGTGTGCTGTATGGAGTGTGGCGACTTGAACTGCTGCACATCGGTGCAAAGTTCTGTGCTGAAAACAGACAGACAGACTGCTGTCAGCTTGTTGGCCGTCACCTGTAGCTCTCAGATTCAAGTGGCACTAGACATAAGTCGTTCGATAGGCCCAGATCTTCTAGTTTTCTTATCGGTCCAAATCTATTCTTTTTCTCTCACTCCCCAAAGTCTTCCGCATGACCCAGTCCATTAGGATTCATGAGACTTCTCAAATATTCTCCAGCTTGAACTAGGAGTGTGTGTGTGTGTGTGAACAAATGCTTCCGAATCACTTACATTCGAAAGGCACAAATAGCAAGTTAAACAGTCAGTTATATGTTCACGATTTTCAGAAGACTCAGCAATTCCCCAAGAGAGACATTATCTCCAGCTCAAGGGAACCACCACTTGCTATTAAGTCAGTTCCTGGAGCATCCATATTACCATCAACACATTTATAATGAATTTGAATAAGAATGGTGACGGTGGGTATTTCTCTCGAGTGTTGTCTTCACAACTAAACACATCTATGGTACATCTCCACCAAAAAGTCAAATATCACCTCCAAAGGCAAAAAATAAGGCAAGTGGTCGATTCCCGTAGGTAAACCTGCATTCCAGTGCCAGTATCATGAAACTGTCGAGGATTCCCATACTCTAGGTAACATTTCAGATGATAAAGTCCATTATGTGTCACTGACAAGCCTAAACAATTCCGCAAACGTACAGTCAACTTCTGCTGCATTGCCACCTTTTGGACTGAAGATACCTTCTGAAAGCCCAGTTGCAGCTACAGTAGGACTAAATCATGCACCCAATAAAGGTCAAGGTTTGGATGGAAGGACAAAGAAGTTTGGTCTTAGATCAGATTAATCGCTCTCCAAAGTGTTCTGCATAATGTTCCAGATATCTCAACGGAAAAGCTTTCGGAGTTCTATCTCCCACTGTCTCTCTCTCTCTCTCGGATCATCCCACGCGGCACTACAAATTTCTTAGAATCTGTTTCCTTAACCAGCCTGGAACGTTGACGTGTGTCTATTTCTCAGTACTGATGTCTTCGGCATTTGTTGGCCACCATTGTTTTCAGTCATTTAGGAAACTACCAGCGTTCAGGTTCGTTGTCTGTCGATATAAGTCTATTTGCGTCAATAAGTTCAAATGAAACTTCTAAAATACACTAGCTTTTATTAACCTTAGTCTATAGGTTATCACCAGTCTTTACTTCTTAATAGCGAACCCATATACTGAAGCATCTCCTTTCTAAAGATAGACTTCATCTTTTCATGGAGAAGCTATGTGTGCGCTTTTGCATCCCTTCAGATTGCAAGCATACACACGTGCAGGAACTAATCCATGATTACAGTCCATGCAGGTGGTCTTGAACAAGTGACTATCTTCCGCTGACCTTCTCTCTCTCTATTGACAATTTCTAGAAAAATGGTTCATCATTTCTGTCCATTATTAGCATTATATCGGCAGTCCACCAGATGAAAGGATGATTTCTTATCTCTGGAATTAGTGTTTACGAGCAACACATAGTTATCTGAATGGAATATTTTAAGGAGAGATTACCATCGCGCCCCGCCGCCTCCTCACTTAAATACTTTTCGAACTGATTGATCGTCTCCACTTTAACGTAGGATGATCAAGTTTGACTTAACACTACTTAAAATAAGAACAAAAAATATCTGTCTACACCTATGTGTGTGAGAAATGTTATTGAAACACAGTAAAAAAATTTTAATTATAGTAATGATAATAATAATAATAATACTGAAAAAATGCATTTGTTTAACATACCCGCACTTTGATATGTTTAGAGATGAATGAGTCATTCACATAGAATATATCATTTGGTTCAATATCGCGTGTTTTAGGCTCTTTACACAGGATTCTTTGATTACAACGACCTAAAGCTAGAGCCATAAGACTACGCTTTAATTCACGCTCGGGAATATTTGTTTCATTGGCCAATTCAACAAAGGTGTATTGTTTGCGTCGATTAAACTTCATCAATATTATCATTTGATATGTTGAAACCTAATTGTTGTGTTATAATGAATATATATAGATATTTATACAGAAAAAGAGAAATACAAAGTTAGTAATCAATGTAAGTAATTTAAAATCAATTTGCGATTATTATTATTATTATTATTACTATTTGAATAGTATTCGTTTAGCCTTTTAGTTCTCATCCATCACGTGCGTATGTGACCCGATCATTTAAAATAAATAATATGATAAAAAGCAGAAATAATAGGCGGTGGGTGGGTGAGATGGTGAAAGCAGAGACGGTGTTAGGCTTTAATTAGTCCTTACGATGACTAACTATTCATAATTGGCATCAATTCGTTATAACCTGTGGATGTTATGAGGTACTACTACTACTGTGACGTTTATCGGTACAAAGATAATACCAAGTAGCCGCCGAGAGAGACGGCTTTGACATCAAAGAGAAGAAATGAACCAACCAGTGCATTGCGGCAAAACACATGGGAGACACAAAAGAAGACAAAGACGCACAGCACGAGGGGGAGAAGTAGTACAATAACAAAGAAGATCTGTGCAAATGACCACTTACATATAAGATGTGCAAAATCCATTTATATATATATATATATATATATATATATATATATATAAGACATTTGTTTTCCTTCACGTTCCCCAGTGGAACATAGGGCTTCAAGCCATTAGCTTGAAGTTTCTGTAGCAGTGTTTATTTTACAGGATGGGGTTGCTAGCCTCATGCCCAACCGTTCCTCTTTACCAACATTATTTCTGGCTTAGCGAGGTAAAGGAGTGCGTCGGCCAGGGATCGAACCCCGGACCATGTGCATGGTCGGCGAGCGTCCTAACCGCTATGCCACCGACGCTTATATAGACATACCAAGTTCCAAATAAACAGCATTCCGTTACCAAGTCGCTTGTCTTCTACTGTTACATTACTACTAGATAACTAGTTGAGATGGTAAGCCATTGATATCGGCATTATAAAACCAGCTGTCTAATACAAATTTTAATTTCTTTTTTGAAGTTGGTTGAAACAGGAATTTCTATTCGTCACAGTCTGAAAATGTCTTCTTGACAGTAGACGACTTACTGGCAATCCATGTCCAACTTCAACTTGTTATCATAAGAACAAATTTAGTTGTTTACTTAAAACCACATATCGATTTTGTTCAATAAACATATACACACACTTGTGTACAGAATAATACAGAATAGTATAGTGATAACAGAAGAAGGCTTAACACAATATAATGACATTCTAAACTGCTGGAAAATATCTGACCATTTTATTCATTTAAGACTAGTAAAATGGCCTGCTACGGCTGAGGGTGGGATGACTCCAGTCTTACTCTCGAAATGCTATCGTATGACTACGCATTTGTAGAATGCAGAGTCTTTTGAACACCTCGAGAAGCAGGAATCTTTGAATGTTTGGCATGTGATTCCCTCCTGTCTGTCTGGTTTCAACACAGAACTTTGCAACGGTGTGCAGCAGTTCGAGTCGCCACACTTCACTCAGCACACAAAGCCAGAGAGGAAAGTAAAAAGAAACGCAAAATAGAGACAGTAAACAGAGATATGAGGCGGAAAAAAAAGTAATGTCGAAGAACAATATAGTTTCATTGGAAATCATAAGTCACAAGATGTGGATGCATCTACGCCAGATATTGAGAAGAACTATGAGACATATCACCAATCATCTCCAGCCATTGATGTTTACCGTCCCGAGGACCCCAACCAGGAAGTCTACATCTTCCCACGTGGCTTAAACTAACTGTTGATTCCCTTCTGTCAAAAGTAAGATGATGCCACAAGACTACTGGACTACATCGATTTCCAGCTAAAAGGTAAAAAGGAAGCGAAGTAGTAGAGCATCTTGACCACTTCACTTATCAGGGAAGTTGCATCAGCCAACCGTAGTGAGTTGGTCGCTGTAGAAATCTCAGCACGAAGACAAAAGGCTCGTGTGGGACTTGCCAACCTGCATCATCTCTGGCTTAGGAGATGTGATATCCAGCTGACTATCGATCAAAGGACGTGTAGACTGTCTTCGATCATAGGTGTCTGCGTTCCATCTCCCGTGTGAAGTGGTATAATAAGGTGAGCAATATTGAGGTTAGGCGTCGAGTGCTAGGTAAGGCGGGAAAATCAATCGATGAGACTGTGAAATTACATCGACTGAGATGGTTGGGACATGTGCTACGTATGCCTAGTCATCGCCTTCCTCGACAATGGGCAATGTTAGCTGATATAGGGCCAGGCTGGGAAAGAGCTAGCGGCGGTCAAACGAAGACTTGGCACCAGTCAATGAAATCCACAACAGTTAGTCTAAGCTACGTAGGAAGATGTAGACTTCCTGGTTGGGGTCCTCGGGACGGTAAAAACCGATGGTTGGAAACAATTGGCGACATGGCTCAAAATCGTTCTCAATGGCGCAGATGCATCCACTCCTTGTGACTTATGATTTCCAATTAAACTGCTTTGTTCTCCGTTATTACTATTCCTTTGTCTCACACCTCTGTTTACTGTCTATATTATGCATTTCTTCTACTTTCTTCTCTTGCTTTGCGTGCTACATGGATTGTGGCGACTTGAACTGACGCACATATGAACAAAGTTCTATGTCGAAAACCAACCGACCGACCGAGACTGTGCACCACCCCGCTCCATCCTCCTCTATGACTGTGAAACGTGACCACTCAAAGTGAAAGACATGAAAAGACTCGCTGGCTGTCTCTGATCATAGGTATCTGTGTTCTGTCTCCAACATTACGAGTTATAATATCGTCAGTAGTATTGAGGTGAGGCATCGGTCGAGTGTTAGGTAAAGAGGGGAAATCAATCGATGAGGTTGTGAAGCCAGGATATGTGCTACGTATTTCAAGTCATAGTCTTTCTCAACAGACAGTGTTCGCTGACACATGATCTGATTGGGAAGGAGCTAGCGGCGGTTAAATCAAAACATGCAGTCACTCTATCAAATCAGCCACGTAGGGAGGTATAGACTGCCTGATTGGTTGGGTTTCTCAGGATTTCAAGAACCGATGACTGGAGATAATTTGTGATATGGCTCAGGATCGTTGTCAATGATGGCGCAGATCCATTTACTCTTTGTTATATGCCTTATTGTTTTTCAATGTTATTAGTCCCTCTTTCTGCGTCACATTTCTGCCTATTGTCGAACTTCCAAATTTCTCTAGTATTCGTTTGTGTGCTTTATGGATTGTGGCAACTCGAACCGGTGCACTTCTGTGCAAAGTTCTATGTTGAAACCAGTCAGTCAGACGAGTTCAGTGTCTGCCAGGTAAGTCGTATTCAAAGCCTTGCACGTAACGCCACGGACCAGACTCAAGGACATGTGGTCTACCTAGGGGAATTGCGAAACACTGATCCAGTGAAGGGGATCGAAGAAGTTAGTCAAAACAATTGAACTTCAGTCGTTTCTCAGACAACCACCAATTTGTTCATCTGTGCGAGTGAAACACATGGTGTGTGATCAATTGGATTTTCAAGGGACATGAACGCGGCGGTTGAGTTGTGATGTGAATCTCTATACTCATTCTATATCCCCATTGATATGCACACCTTTGAGAAGTCACACGTACTCTCCCTTCACTAATTGGGACAGTGTCAAGAAATGCCTGATCACCAGGTTTGGTGGGCCAGGCCAAAGAGTCAGCAGGTAGTATGGCAAAAGCTAAGGTCTAGCACGATATATAGCCACAGAGCAATCATGGGTGTTATTTCTAGTTGAAGCCTACTATTGGAAGCGAGCTCGATGTCATTAAAGCAGCCTAACTGACTGACTTCCTGGGATTCCAAACGCCTATGGTGCACATGGGCTCCAGAATCCGAAAGGAACGAGTGGTGTATAAATCTGTTTTGGTCGCTTACGGCCATGCGAACGCAGCTCCTGACACCGTCCCATTGCCGAGTCCATCAGACTTCAAGTCAAAGACTTGGTATGGGTAGACGGTCGTCAATCAAGACAATCACCTGCTTCGACCTCTGGCCTCCCGAGTAGTAAATCCCAGCCGTCACACAAACTCTGAGATTTTGTGTGGTGCATCTCTTGGTGTCTAATAGTGTACCACTGTACCAATAATAAATAAAACTACACAAGAGCTGATTTACATTAGCAAATCAATAACCACTCGTATCCTGTTGTACAAAGCCGGTTAGAATGCAGTTGGCAGGTCACACTTGTCGTACACATAAGACGATGTCATTACAGGTTATGAATTTGCTTGTACCCTAAGAAAATTAGCAGTATGTCAGATAAAATAATAATAATAATAAGCATTGGAAAGAGAAGAGGGAATGGGAGGAAAATTATAAAGGTGGGATAAAAGCATTCTGCCAAGGTAGATTTAAACTAACACTACTGTCTCCTTCTATACACAAAGATCTGATTCCACAGGCTTCAACAAAACCAAAATCTCATTCTGATTACCTTGCTTATTAATAGATGTAGAGCTTTTACTGAACGTCATGGGTGGTCACAGTGTATTTGACCTCGTTGGGATGCCATCATGATGACAACTATACAGATAAGTCCTGCACCATTATTTAGCTTTGCCTAGTTATATTCAATTTTATGATATACATATATATTACCCGCGGCACATGTGTACCATAGCTCACTAACAGATATTCTGTGAATGAGGTGTTTATTATTGATTTATCAACCCTTAGAACGCCGAAATCCATATACGCAGCATATTATTCCTAGGCTTATTGAAAACGCATTGATGACTGTAGTTGAGAAACACAAAAAATAAACAAATATATTAAGTATAATTTTGACGTTTTCTTTACCCATTAGTTATAAGGCACACCTTGCTTGCTGAGTGGTCGGCGAGACCGTCTCGGAACCTGAATGTACTAAGTTCGACCCCTAAATAGGTGAAGAGCCCCACACTAAGACGGAACACCTGTCGCTTGATACTCCTTGTATTCCTGAGGTCAAGTAGCTATACGCTTTGTGAATCAACGGTTTGGTGGTAGACTGCTGGACATCCACGAACACGTAGCCTGGGTTCAATTCCTAGCCGGCAGTAAACACCACCCCGTAAATAGATAACACCGCTACTGAGACTTTAGGGGGCTCAAGGCTAAAGCCCTATGTTCCACTCAGAACGGAAAGTTAAAACAATACAGTTAGTTATATAAGACATCATATTGAAGCGTTGCATGGATAAAACATAATACTTACCTGTAAGAAATACTTTCGTACATTCGATCGATTAGAAGAACTGAATGAATTAGAGGGATCAAGTGTGTTTGGACCTCCAGGACTGCTTGGCAATCCACTGCTTGTCACAGGTTGACTACACTGACTGTTCATTTGATTTGAAGATCCAGAACTGGAGCCACGCATAAGAAAACCTTGGGTGTGTGAATCAACCACAGAATTCTGAGGTATGCTTGTTTCTGTACCGGGACGACCATAAAATACAGCGGACAATTCCGCATAACCCATATTTGTTTGAAGATTAATTTTTCGACCATTATGTTTATTTAAATAGAAGCTAGAAGGTAGACAGACAAGTAAACGTAGAATCCAAAAATAATAACTTTTTCTTATTGCCCCCTCTTCGTATGGCGGGTTATGCACACACACACACACACACAGACACACACATCTTAATCATAAAGAATCCTCATGGACTAACTGGATGATACTAAAGATTTAATTATTACTATTATTATATTATTGTTCCCTTGGGTTTCGAGAGGAACATAGCGCTTCAGAAGAACATCTCCACTTCGTCCTATTTCTAGCGGTTCTCTAACGAAGTCAGCTGCTGATAAGACTCTCAGACCTGTTGGAAATGCGTTTCGCGAAGGGTACACATCGAAATCTGACCCATGTAGAAGAACAGACCTAACACCTCTGTTGAAAATCCTAATCCTGTTCTTCATGCTGTTTACAGAAGATTTTTGAATTGATTTCAGAGTGATGAAAGTCTCAGCCTTGCCCTTCCGATTCTGGCCAGCTTTGACATCTTCATCCGCTCCGGCTGTGGTTGAAACAATGCTTCCTAGATAAGTGAAGGAAATGACCACGTTCAAATTTCTTCCGTTGGTAGTGATTGGTGCTGGTTGTTGTTGTGACACGACAGTAGGTTACCTTTCCTTCCTTCCAAAGTTTTTGCAATAGTGGTGTCAGCATATCCCCCTGAAGCACTAAAAGGTCTAATTACGTCAAAAGGTTAAATGCCTGAAAATACCCCCTTCTAGCTAACACAATCAGTCTTCTCAGACACAAAACTGTTCGACAGACAAACGCATGGAATTTTCCATCTGAATTCACTGGATGTCAACTTTGCAGAGTAATCCAATATCATACTCGCGGCATACCCAGTTGCATAGAGCAATGTTGACGACGTTGATAATGAAAAACGACAATGGCCTCGTTAACCGCTTTTTTTCTCTCTTCCCAACGATCTATTTATAGTCGAATAACAAAGAATAACAATAATAGAGATAAATGGAAACAGGAGATAATGCAGTATCCAAAAGCTGTTGTATAATTCAGACAGAAATGCTAACACAGAAGGCAAGAATAAAAATGTAGAAATAAACCTAATGATAACGAAAGTCATACCTAATCGATTCAACTAATAAAAAAATGAGACAGTTTGTTGTTTAGCGAAGAACTAATGTTGTTGGGATATTAAATGGCATTAGAAATTGCTTAGTCAAAATACCCATATGATAAGAATAAAGATAATTATAATATGGTTTTTAATTTGGGTGTGGGATCGAAGTGGATAAAATATATATGACTTCTAAAAGATTATCGCATAACGGTAATTGGTGTTTTCAAGTAGGCCAAGTGTTGTCAAAAATGAAAATTGCGATGATGACTGACTATGATGACAATAAAGAAGGTGAGGATGAAGTGAAGTGGCTTGAATTCAAGCGATAGAATAAATATTATTGTCACTAAAGTAATGAAAGGGGTTTAACAAAACATTTTTGAATACTCAGTTGAGGCTTTTGTTCATGTATAGTAGCTAGAGCTTCGGTGCATATATTAGTGGTTGAATTTAGTTCTGAATGACCTGACCGAAGATGATCACAGGTGAAAGACTTCATCGTCATATGTTCACCTTTAATTAACCAAACAGGGTAGTATTCAGCTATGCGTTTCCGGAAAACAGCAGGCTTACAACGGTTCAATGTAATCAGCTGCATAGGAGCATGCACATACATACTGACTCAGCAATTTGTGTCACTTAATGCCTTTTTCCGTATTATATAGATCCCCCTATACAAGTGGTTGAAAAGGTGAGGAAGGTGACAACAACACTCAATGCAGAATAAACGCTATACAATAACAAAAAGTTAAAAAGTGGAAGAAAGAATGAGTTCCAAGTCATTTAACTTGTTACTCCATTGCCAGACATGTATCGCGTAGACCATTCCTAATGAATAGGCGGGTGTATCAACTTTACAAAAAGGCATCAATTAGCGGAACAATCGATTACGCTAACGCCAACACCAACTCACTACCGGATTCGATTCTTTTGATGGTTAACTATGTAGATGAAATCGGTAGAGTAATTATTTCATTTTCTTACCTAAGCCAATCACGAATCCACACCAACCAATGGACAGTCAAGTCAAAAACCCAACCTTTGAAAGACAATTAATAAAGTCAATTACCAGAAGAAATTTGAAACATCTACTGTGTCGGTTTTATCGTCAACAGACAGCTTTGAAAATGTTAGCTAGCGTAAATTATGCTCCCATGTTTTTTTCATTTTTGACCGAATGAATTTGAGTTAGCGGAGCTAACACATTGTTCTTAGAATTTATAAATAATGTGTCAATCTAAAACATTTTCAATATCGCCACAAATAAAAACCATTTTCATATGGATAAGTCTAATTTACAGTTGGAAGATTTGATTAATCCAATTAGAAAATATTTGCTGATTGTACTTTCAACCACCTTGTGTTTCCTTCTAGCGCTGTTCATGTTAGATAGCAACAATAAGTGAGTAGTGACTAGGATCTGTAGACAAATGTAGAGTAAACGGAGAGTGTTAAGTGCTTCAGAGGCACGTTCTGACACACTTGAAGCAGTCAAGTAGTAATGACACGATTTTGTGATATGAAAGATACATGGAGTTGTTCGGCAATAGCCACGACATAAAGGATACCTAAGTGGTTAGAGGGTAACCCCCTTAAACTAGTCGAAATGCAGCATCTGTGTGCTTACATATTTCTTTCCGAATGAGAATGGGTGTTACCAAAATGAACATGAATACGAGTAAGAGCAGTTGTTTCGGTGACAACTGATTAACGGTTACCTCGATTGGTTGTTTGCGTTCGATAGGACTTGATTACCCAGTACTGGGCTATCAGCCACACTTACTGTGTGTGTGGGCTAATGATACTACCCAGTTGCCTAGGTGGAGGTAGGTGGGGCGGGACTCGAACCCAGTACCTACTGCCTAACCCAATTAGCCACTAAACATTATCAGAGCTTGATATTCCTACAAGGTAAAGAAGCATTGTTCAGTTTTATCAAAATCTGGAAAATGAGCATAACTGGTTGAAATCTGATATCTTGCGTGAAGTGTATAACTTTCACGTCGCCAAAGGCGAGAAACACACATGAATCATTAAATGGACAGTAGCATTTCTTTAAAAATCTCATCAGGGTCCCAGAGTGAATAAATAATGTCAAATATTCTGGTATAAATTGAGCTCTATGGAAATGACTATCATCTTACTTGATAAACTTCTAAATATTTGTTTCCTTAATAAATTCTGCTGGATATCATTTATTAATTCTGTAATATTCAGAAGTGGCAAGCAGGAATCCAAGACATGCTCAGTTTTCACACTAATACCTAATACCTACTTCAGTATGGGCAACTGGGAAGTAACACCACCCGTCATATTATTTATTTTATTTTTATTTTAAACACAAAAATTGGTACAATACGACACCAAGAAGACGCACCACACAATAATAATGAAACGTACGAAAAAAATAGGTGTGGAAGTTATATTATATTTATATATTTATATTTAACAAGACCAAACACCATTCGTCGAATTATTGTCAGAAAGGGGAGAAGGAAATTGCAGCACGTTCGCCATTGCTCGCGACTCTTAGCCACGTTCGACGACGTTTTGAGCTAACTCCCGGACCCCAACCAGGGAGTCGTGACGCACCAAATGATGCTAACCTAACAAAACTTTCCTTCATTTCAAGAAACCATGTCATGGGCTGACCACCTCCCCACTTTTCCATCCCGTTTCAAGGCTAGCGAACAGAGACTGGCACCGAAGCTTCTGGGATGACATTCATAGCACCTATCCAAGCCACCGAAGCCGCGGTTCCCAGATGATGACACTCAATGAATGATCATCTCCACTGTGTCCGAACACACACAGCATGCATCGAAGAATTGTAAACCCGACCTCTGACACCCAGGCTGACATCGTGATGGTGCCAGAGGTGGCTCAGCTTGACATATGCCAGCCTAGCTTTCATGATGCAGTTGGATTCCTCGCTCGCCACACCACCAGCACTCACACAACTATTCAGACACACGAACTTATCGACAACTTCAAGCGGTTCACCTGCAAAAAAGAGTGTAGGTACAGGCTTCTGTCAATCTTGTAATAATACTTTGCACTAGGATGACGCAAAGCACATACCATACTTACAGACACTGATCCCCAACTGAGAAAGTGTGGTTTTGGCAGCCTGCTTGCTATCGCATAGTAAGATGATATTGTCTGCATGATCGAGGTCGAAAAGTCCTTCTTCAGGAAGCAGATCTACACCACTACCACGCACATCCTTCACGGGCTGACTCCAGAATATCATCGGTGGCAAAGTCAAACAGAAATGGAGAGATTAAGCAACCCTGTTCAACCAGCTGTCACATGATAACTATGCCGTTTACCCTAGCGCACGATCTGTTAGCTAGACCAGTACTAAATAGTTTCCCACCCCACTGTTTAGTGTAACGCACAACACCACGTGAAGACGGAATTTACGTAACTCAAGAAGTAGCACATGAACCCCAATAACATTCAGAAACAGAAAAAGCTGGCTTACACAAATCTTCCTCCTCACAACTAATAAGTAGATTAGACTTGAGACTTACAGCTTTGATTTATTCAATGAATTAAATGCTGTTAAACAGTTTAAAATAAGTTTAAGTCAGGATTTGAATGTTGTAACATTGCTGAGAGATTGTATGACTTCCTGATACAAAAAACTGTAGCAAACGTAAAACATACTAAACTTGGAGTTAAGGGAAATGAATATGACATATATCTTTTAAATACTATTGGGCTAATGGTGAAAAATAATTCCAAAAATAATAACGACAAAAGTAGTAAAAAAAATAGTTACAAAACTTACCTTTTATAAACCTTAAATGCTGCATCGGCTTCTTCTGGTAATACCTCATTGGAACTAGCTACCTGAGTCGGCCAAAGTCCAGTTGTCAATACACGAACATACAAATCTAAGCCGAAATTGTGATTGCTGTTGGTTAGTACACCATTAAACTCATCCATGAGAGTTTTAGATATCGCCATATCTTTGAACATTCCTTCTAATTTACTAGTGTATACGGCACCGCATTCTGCCATGAGTTTGGATATCATTATCTTTTCTTGGTCATCTGACTGACTTTTACTTAACAACAGCCTCTTGGCCAAATGCTTTTTGTAATAACCTTCAAAAAGATCTTTTTCTTGTAAATATCGGAATAATACAATACATTTATCGAAAATAGCATCAACGTCCGAATCTGCCATTCCTCTAGTACCCCGTTTAAGTTTCTCATCAATAAATAACGACAGGAACTCAGGTGAGCGGGGGTTTAAATTGACAAAGTACTCAAAGTCAGAATTTATCTGATTACGAAATATTGTCTTATTATTTAGTGCTCTTGCTAGCAATTCGTTGGCACGATCACGCAATCGCAGTAGATCCTGAATATGCTGTTGAGGAGTTGACGCGCCAGTGTCACAGACGATATTTCTGCCTTGCTCTCTCAGATAAAGACTAATACAGTTGCTCATTATCTTTGGTCCTTCTTCAACCCTACTAAGAACACTGTACATAGCAGCAATGTCACTGAAATGGTCATGAGTTAGCATGTATGTTAGCCCTGAATCTTCCATGCCTACAATAGTTTCCATGTGCCGACTTATAAGTTCCTCCTCCAAAACCGCAACAATTTTGGGCTCTGTAGACGGATCAAGATGATTATGCGCTCGTCTAATTTCTTCCTCGATTCTCTGTTCAACCTTTTTGATATAGAGAGAAGCGGAGAAGTTTTCGGCCAAGAAATTTTCACTTTCAGCACGATAAAATTCCCTAGACTGTTCCAAAAATGGTCGCTCAAAGTCCTCAAGGTAAACACGTAGTGAACCGGCTCCTAATTGAACAAACATTTGACAGGCATCACGAATCTGTGAGCGTGATATTGCCTCACCTCGACGCTCCCTTCGAACCATGTCTAAAAGTGTCTTCTGCAAGTGTTCTCGGATTACAGGATGACGTACCACAAGATCACAGAAAACTGTCATCCCCATTTTATAGACTCCATCTAGATTATGAGGGCCAACGTAGACACGATCCATATACATGAGAATATCGCGAATCATTCCCATAGCAGTTTGATGATCTTTCCAACAGGAGTTGAGGTAAGTTAGAAATTTATTATTTAGATTTTCAACAATACTGTCACGAATCCTCATCATATGTTCACGGACAACGGCTTCAGTGCCCGCGTACAAACGTTCTCCATGTTTTTGTAAAATTAAAGTGTACGCATTTCGGTATAATTCTTCAAAGCTCAAACAACTATTGTTTTTCTTCTGAATTTCAATAATCGCACTTTTTATCTGATCCCATAACTGATTTGCATATCTTTCGTCTATCGAAGGAGGAAAGGCTTTAATTCGCACTTTGGCGCTTGTCACTTCAGTCCGACGAGCACTGCCACCTGTAGACATATTAGATTTCTAAAAAGCAAAACACAGAAACAAAGAATAATTTCACAGGCCAGTGGAGGTAGATGCTTGGGGGAATTAACTGGAACATGGTTGACTGATAAACAACTGATTAGATCAGCAACTAAAAAAGAGCAGACATAGAATACTGCAATCGATAAATACGGATGGAATAAATCGTAATTAAGTCGGGAAAGATGAAAACAAGCAAAATTCCTAACATAAAGGGTACATCTGCACTACTGTGAATGAATGTGAACGCAAATAATGGTTGTACCGCTGATTTTTAGCATTGCGAGCACAAGCCAGTGAAATACATCGCAATATATGACAGACGAAGTTACGAACTTTCCCAACCCTTGACTCTTCTAGAATCCAGTCTTCGAAAGTGAAAGATGGTTTAGGATGCATAACGAATGCCGCGGTCACACCAGTTGAAGACTAATCTTATCTTAAAGTACGCTGAATCCGGAAGTGCAATATAGCTCCACCTAACAGGAGCAAATGTATGGTGGTGAAAAGTGGGACGAAATATGTTCTACTACAGTGAAATATCTACCGGCATGCAGAATGGCGTTTAGTTATGCCAAGCAGCGGTAAGCAATGCTTCCCGTGCACGTACTAGGAAAAAAATCCTCAAAATTAATTCGATAATTAACACAGGGAACTGTCATTAAAATTTATAACTTTCAAATGGTGTATCCTTTCAGAACAAAAAAACCTAAGGTGGGTACTGATGTACTAAACCAAGCGAGGTGCATGCATTGACATTTTTACGAATGGACCAACGTACCACAAAAAACTTGTTAGTCACAGTCAACTAACTACACCGGAACTTTTCGTGTGTATATTACTACAAAATCAGTAACAAATACCATTAGAGTAGGGTTAGGAGATAAGGAATACAAATTTAAAGAACTCCAACAGTACTAAAGGAGTAGGATCTAATGAATCCACCAAATTCCGGCAGAACTTCTCAGCTGAATACTCTGAATACATTGACATACTATCCAATTGTTTATTCACATTTGTTGCTTTAACTTTTACTCCCATGCAAATATGCGCGAGTTGAGCTGACTGTAAACTAGGCAACCTATTACAGAATGAGTTCGTTTGGAAGTCGCATTTAATAGGTAGTTGACACAGCTACTGCTTTATGTTCACGATCACATTAATTAACTACGTACGTAATGTTTTTCACTTCGTAAGCACTAAAACATCACGTTCAGGTCAAAGGAAATCACAGTACGGATCATGGTATGGTTGCAAATAAGACAGGGTTTAGTCAAGTGGGACGGACTGAAGCAATAGGTCTTCTCACTACTATAAATCGGAACATTAATCGAAGCACAACATAATTACTGCATGCATTAGTCAATAAGATCTTCAGTGGTTAACTCGGAAACCTGCAGAGTAGTAATGCATAACAAAGAAATAATCTGTGATAAGTCAGTGCCGTGAGATTTCTTGCAAATAATTAGCTTTCATCTGTCTCGATTGAAGTGCTACTAACTAAAGAATGATTCAAGAAATCAAAAGCCTATTGCTTAAAGAATATGCCTAAGAAAATTCAAGTGGACCGGACACACCATGCGGAGACATTTGGGTTACATGGACCGCCAGAACCATGAGTGGAACCTGAGGAGTTGGGCACCCGACAGTGAAATGGGGATCGCGAGATGAGAGCTCACTGGGGATCATGGGGCCACGTGGAGCTTTGGTGTTGGAGATCTGTGCTCCACTCAGAACCGAAAAGAATAACAATACCATAACGAAATGACTAGGAATATACGTCGTTACGTACTGAAATTTTTAAATCGCTAGATGAACAAAATTTTTAACAATTTTCGCCCATTTAAGCAGTGTTGACAAAATACAAGAAAGTATACTTGCTTGTAATTCTATCAACAGGCTTTTGTAGACTATAGTTGTGTTTATCCTTGCTTGAGATAAATTACAGGCAACGACTGGCCGAGTAAACTCACATACAAAGTACAAGCTGAACTTTCTCTTAACTTTAAAGTTTTGGTAGAGTGTAAGATACGAATTACACAAAATTACTTAAGATTTCGTCGAGTACGTCAACTTCAAGGTCGCCGTCAATCAACTCGAATGAACTTTTAAAAAGATATACTTTTCCAGTAAGATTACAAAACCCCAAAACTATCAAGGCAAGACTTTAAAATAGTGATTTTCAGTATAAGTATTAAAGTAAACAATTAATATACACATTCATCTCTATTATACGAAGGCATTGGCAACGCACCAACGTCCCAAACCATAAGCCGCGCCCTGGCTGTGGTTCAAAACAATGGTTCGCTACAAAAACAGATGTTTCTATTCTCATAGACAATGTCTTTTTGATCAACTTACATAAACCTAATGATTACTTCGCTCTTTCTTCTTGTTGTTTCAGAAAGGTTCTAGGTTTCTGGTAAACTCTAGAACTACCAACCCACCCACATCCGAATACTGCATCTTAGTGGAAAAGAAGAAAAGGGAGGTACATTAGTTTGTTTTAAAGAGAAAGCATTGCTTGTACCAGGGTACTGACACTGCTGAGACTTGATAATTTCGTTCCTGTCTGGAGATCCTCCGTATAAACAAACTTGTGATAAATCAGTTAAAATCTTGTAGGAACAAAATCGACAGAATGTGTGGTGAAAGCAAATGTTAAGTGGGGGATGAGGATTGACTGTGTTACAAGTAGTTTCGTGTGGGCATGCTACCACAGCAATATTGAAAGAAAGGAATGAGAATGGTAGAGAAAGAGGTAGTAGAACAATTCGGGTAAAATAGTGGGGTATATAAGAATCAGCGAGATTCTTTCAATGTCATTATGACCCTTTATATCTAATCTGCTTTCCCTATGGATACCTGGTTCTTCATATTGCTTTAAAGTCATTAGGCAGATGGAGGATATCACTCTTAGAGTCGCCACAGAAAAGGTCTTCATCAGTGAACTGGAGATTCTCCTTTTAAGGATATTTGCTGCTAGGTTTCCTGTGAATTCCAGATTCAAATATAGTGTTTTCTATGCCACTGAAGTGCATTTTGTCCTTTGTGGGTTTGCTTTCATGTTCTTCTCCACGAAACGCGCTGATCATCCATTTAGAGCCAGGATTTTTTTAAGAGAAGGCTCTTTTCCCAAGCAGACACTTTCTAACACTGTATAATTTTGTTTCCAAGCCCCCATATTCACATCCTTTAACCTTCCTATCAAGTTATTTTTCCAGTTATCAATATATTAACATATAACAACTTATTTTACACACATTGTAACTATTTTCTAGGCCTATGTAATCTTGTCTTTAAGGCCCTCGTGATCTATATTCACACCTCTAAACTTTCATGTCAAGTTGAAAATTATCATAACTTTTCACCTGCTTCATTACTACGGGAAGTCAAATGACAGTGCAACTGCACAGCTACTGGAAATGAAATCACCAAAAAGATACCTTTGCTGGACTTCTTGTTCTTTTATCTTTATTTTTACTTGAAGTTATGTTATTGCTTGCTGTAAACATATTTTTGTTATTTCACCTCACAAAACTTATTTAATGATGGATGAGAAGGACTCTTCTGTGCAGATGACAATAACGTTGGAGTTTCCTGCCTTCTGGGTGATTCGTAAGTGTTCACGGTTTTAAAATTTTGAAGCCCATTTCGCTTTACTGCGTATTCATTTCCAGGAAACTAAGACCAGCTTAGTAACTGTCAGTCATTCTAAAAACATCATGGACGACGTTTCAGATATGACTGAAGACGGCTACCCTGCCTTTTATGATCGTTAGAAAGTGGCCTAAATCAAGAGAGTAGCACTTACCAACCAACAAAAAGTGCAGGAGTTCTTGAGATACGCTCAATTTGGGGACAGTAAGTCCTTGCAAATGCTTCATCGAATGAAACAGCTAATTGCTGATTTCAAAATTGAAGAAACCTTTATAAACCTACTGTGGTTACAATGGCTATCTCAGACAGTGCAGGCAATTCTTGTACCCTTCTATAAGTTACTTTTGACGGAATTAGCAGAGTCATCTGATAGAGCCATTGAGGTGAACAGACCATTCATAATCGTTTCTGCCACCTTGTCCACTAACTCACCATGTCAGAATGACCTCCATTCAACGAATACCCATCCAGTTTCGACATCAGACATATGTATCTGGAGTTGTAGAGCCTTAGGAAGGTAAAAGTTCTCCCCAAAATCATACGTCTGCTCTTACAGCAAGTCTTCGTCGCTTTGCGGAAAAAGACGGTCAACTTAAAGTAACTCTCAACCTGACATTTGTTGGTATTATATACATTATGGGGCCAATGCGTAGAGGTAATAATAGTTACATTTCTTATAAACAGGTAAGTTATTGCGAACCGCATGCCATTTATACAGGTACGATCAGAAATGGTATAAATTGAAATCACGATGAATCAATAAATTAGCTCTTTTTCGAGAGTTTAAATGGCTGAAATATAGTAAACAATCGAAACAGGTCCGAATAAATTTGAAACTCTCACGAAGGTGACCATCAAGGTTCAGCTGCAACCCGAACTTCGTTCCGTATCCTGCCGATAGTATGGATGACACATGAACAGTCTATATTTGGGTAAGTGCTGTGTCCACAGGTGATGAAAAGCTGTTTCAGTAAGAGAAGAACGTCCTGAGAAACTGCAGAACTTTGTAAAACACAATTAAGGATAATATGTCACTGGAAGTACATTTACAAGATATGTCCAAGAGGGAGCAATGGAGTCCTTGATAGTATAATGCTGACCATATTGGTCTAACGATGGAAACTATAACATTTTCGATGAAAATATAGCTTTGTGCAAAAATGAGTGTTGTTATTATGTTTTTTCCACCAACACAATAAGGCTTTAAAGGAGTAAAGGATAGAAAAGAAAAGAGTAAGTTGTCGCTTCATTATATGCCTAGGTGGTTGGGTCAAAACAGGGTATAATGGTACTTAATTTAAAAACTATTGTGTATGTCCACTTCTCACTTGGCACCCGATTATTTCGGAACTATTCCATCAAATCTTGACTCCAGTTCACATGAATATGTAAGTGATAGATTAGTGAAAGAAGTTTCTTGGACCTTGAAATCAGACTTCGCCCTCCTTTCCTCTAGGTTTCCATCGTGGCCGATGTGACTACTGGCACTATTGGCATGGATCCCTAGCATCACTTTAGTCGCCGGTAAATGCAGGCAATCGTAAGTTGAGTGATTCTATCACACGATTCTCCGTCTCCGGCACTTTAACTCATAGACCCTCTCACAGCCCGGCTTATCGTACCCCTGACATTTCAAGTCCGTACTCCGCCTAATTATGATGTTCCTTATGAGACTTCTAATGTTACTCATCATATGATGATTCCTGGCTAGTCTATTTTCACCAGACCAAGCCGGCTGTCTTCAGAGAAACTCCAAGAAGTTAAGGCTGAGTTTCAGGGCATGCTAGAAACAGGAACAATGAGACTATCCAACAGCCCACACTTACATCTGTTGCCTAAAACAATGGCATGGACTGAAGGCCTTGTGGTGTTTACCGAAATTATAATCTCCAAACAGTCCCAGTTCACTCCCCAGTCGCACAAATGCAACATTTGACATCATATTTGAAAGGCTCAACTTTTTTCAATAAGCCGAACCCAACACGTGCTTATCACCAGGTCTCTGTATACCCTTAAGATGTCCCGAAGACGGCATTTGTCAAGGAATGTGAACATTGAACGTTGGTTCATTGACCCTGGTCACCATTGGCGGGCAACTCGAAGGCGCAAATGGTTCAGTCATGTGCAAGTTCGAAGACGAGAAGAGAATACGAATAAAAGTACCTCCTAATTTTGTACTAAACATTTATTTGTAGACTTGTAATTGTCTTTACTTTAATTGCCAAACAATATAACTTCCTTCTTACAACCACTGGTGTTTTGGAGTTGAAGTCGAGACAAGTACATCGTAATTATCGGTTTCGAGCGTTTTCGTTACAATAGGAACTTAGGCTAAGTTCCTTGATAGTTTTTATTCATCTGTTCGTTTTCTGGAGAACCTTCTGGAACTAGATCTGCAGCCAGCTTCTCTTTGGACACGGATTATCGACGCAGTTTGGATCCTTTGGTGACGCTGGATAATGCCTGGGTCAAGGATGGGACATGGCACCGTGGAAGCAGACAAAAAAGTCAGTAACAATGAGTTGCCTGTTAATTGTAATCATATGCATGATGCTCAGCATAATGACTCTGATGTTTACGCTCCGCCGTTTAGGGATAGTAGTGCCCTAAGGCTCCCTAAATTCGAACCTCGATACTTTGATGGGAACCCAGCCAACTACCCACAGTTTATCAAAGAGTTTGAGGTCATGTTGAGTGGTTTTGTATTAAATGACGAGATGAAGTTAATGTATTTGTTGAGGTATTGCATTGGTGTGGCTGCAAGAGCCATATAGTGCTGCAAGTTTATGTCCCCGAACGAAGGATATACTGAGGCAATGAGGATACTACGTCAAAGGTTTGGGAAACCATTTATGATATCCCTTAACGTTTTTGAGACTGTGAAAGGTAATGGATCACTGTTAAACAATAATTCAGAGGAACTCGCAGAGTTCTTGCATAATTTAATGGTAGACAGGAGTACTCTCGTTTACCTTAAAAATATGGATGAGTTGAACTCAAGTTCTGTGCTTGAGACTGTTGCCAAGAGATTACCTGTTCATCTACAAAGGAAGTTCATAAAGGTCTGTTCACGTCTAGAGGAGGAGGGTTTAGAGCCCGGGTTGGATGACATTGTGAGCCTGGTGAATGACAGTGTCAACCAAGCTTTGAGCAAGTTTGCTAGTAAACTGCATCCCACCCCTGGAATAGAGAAATCAGAGAGCAAGACGTAATCGTTTATGATGAAAGGGTCTCAAAGAAGTGGATATAGAGAAGGCTGTATGGTGTCTAGTAATCCATACAAACCTAATGAGTGTGACAGCTTTAGTGGGACATCCCCAACGGATAGATTACAAGTTGCAAGACAAACACGACTGTGCTTCGTCCGTTTGCAAGAAGTGCATACAAAAGTGAACTGTGAAGCAGTGAGCAAGTTTAGTGGTAAGCTAAATGTAAAGTCAGAGTCATCATGTTATGACTCCGAATCGTGTGACGATAATGGTGTGGCGAAGAAGCATGCTGTTCCAACTGGTAAGCCATTATTAATTAGAGTGTCACAGACGACACCGCAGTTTGTGCATAAGAAGAGGGTTACAGTTTCAGAGTCCAGTTCTGACTCAACAAGTTTACAAGGTATTACTGGTCAGAGTAAAGGTATAAAATCTTTAAGGATTCATGAGGAAGAACCCAATTCAT